ACTATATCTTTGTCAATATCTATTTCCTTAAAACATAAATCATCAATAAAGACGACCTGACTCTTCAACTTAAATAATTTCATGTTTATTTCTTTCATAGTTTACGACTTAAACTTCCTGTTAGCAAATAAGCTTTGTTATCCTAACAACATAGTGTTTAGGCTTAACAGCATGTAATTGAGTTAAGCTTTTTGGTTCTAGAAATTCTTCAATTTTCTTAATTTTCTCTGGATCAGGTTGAATTCCTCCTTGTCCTATGATATGTCTTAAGAATGTTAAGAAGGTTAACAGAAGTAACACTTCTTTAATTTTATCGCAAGATGAGCGTTCTTAAAAGCTTGAAACACTTGTTTAATATGATCAACATGTAATTCAAAAGGTCTTTTATGTAGATGATTATATCATCAAGGTATACTAATACAAATAATCCAAGGAAGTCTTTTAGAACCCAGTTCATAAGCCTTTAAAAGATTCCAGATGCATTATTTAATCCAAAAGGCATGACCAAGAATTCATACAAGCCATTTGCTGTGATAAAGGCAGTTTTTTCAATATCATCAGGATGTATTGCAACTTGCTAGTAACCACTAGCTAAGTTGAAAGTAGTAAACTAATTTGCTCTACTTAGAGAATCTAGTAAATCATCGATTCTTGATAATAGATATACATTAATTTTTATGACAGCATTGACTTTTTGATAATTAACACATGTTTCTATTATAAAAGTAAAAAAATCAGAAAAATTTAACTTAAGTTTCATCCGATTTGATGGTTGAAGGCATGTTTCTATTATAAAAAGTAAAAAAAATCAGTTTATTTTTGAAAAGTTGACTAAAATAAAGCTTTTTCTTAGTCCGATTTTGATAGTTGAAGGCGAAAATTGACTAAAATTCAACTTAGGTCTTTTTGTTCTTGGGACAATTTTTTTTGGGATTTTGGTGGAATGTAAAAGAAAAATTTGGAAATGATTGAAATTATTTTTTAAAAAGTTAAAAAATTAAGCTTATTTATATAAATATACTTATATACCAGAAATAAACTCAAATAGTACATTAAATCAATATTATTTTAGTAAATCGGTTTAATGCAAAAGTTTAATTCATTGGAATGATAAATGCATCTTATCTAAGGAACAATAAAACTATCGTTCCTAAGGAACGATAAAACCATCATTTCTTAGGTATGATAATACCATCGTCTCTAAGGAACGATAAAACAATCGTCTCTAAAGAACGATAAAATCATCATTCTTTAGATACGATAAAATCATCATTCTTTAGGTATAATAATACTATCGTTCTTTAGGTACGATAATACCATTATCCCTAAGGAACGATAAAACAATCGTCCCTAAGGAACGATAAAACAATCGTCCCTAAGGAACGATAAAATCATCGTCCCTAAGGAATGATAAAACCATCATCCCTAAGGAACGATAAAACCATAGTACCTTAGGTATGATAATACCATCATTCCTAAGGAATGATAATACTCTATCATTCCAATTAGACGTCAATTGGTTTGATATATACCAATTGGCTATAAGTATGCCAATCGGCTATAAATAAGATGAGTTAAATTTTGGCTGATTTTTGGCTGATTTCTGATGTATGCCAATCGGCTAGGCTGATTTTTGATAATTTGCTAAATTTAGGTCAAATTTAGGCTGATTTTAGGTCAATTTTAAGTCAATTTTCACATGTCCGATTTTTTTGATTTCGACCAGTGAAACTTTGGTATAAGCTGACTTATATGGCTTACAGCTTATTTTATAGTGATTTAATTAAGCATAAACGAGTTAGCTTATTTATTTGTAAGCAGTTCAGCTTTATGTAGAGCTCTATTTATTGTATTGTAGTAATAATAAGTTGGTAGATTCCAGAATATTTAAGAGATATCAAAAAGAAATAAACTAACTTCAAATCATTGCTTCTGAAGCTCAGAGTTTTTTTAATTGACAGATACAAGAAGTGAACTGAGCAGCATAAGATTATTATCAAATTTAAGAAGAAAAAAAGAATTAAAGTAGATGAAAATTTATCAAATAGTTCTTCTAGTTCTTCCAATGATAAAGATGATAAATCAATCCCAAGTAATAGTAAAACTAATAATAAATTAATTAATGTATTGATAAGATAAAAATATTACAGTTTTATAATATAATTTTTGATTAATATGATGAATTGAAACTAATTCTATTTGGAGATAATGTTAAAGATTCTGAAGCATTAATTAATGATAGATCTTTTATAAATACAGATTAAAATGATTATTATTTGAGTGAAGATGAAGTTATTGTTGAATAATTTACTACTTCCAATTTTAATAATTTTGATTTTAAATTAGATGATAAACATCTTGATTCAAATATTAATTTACTGATTCGTGAATACTGTTATGAATTGTAAATATTTAAAAATCAAACAAGATTTCATCTTTCAGATGTTTTCACTTATTAAATTTTTCAAGATAGTTTTATTAAATGCTGATCAATCACGATTTGAAAATTTTCCTACTAGTTCTTATATAATAAAAAACTTTTAGAAATTGTTAAATAAAAAAAGACATATGTAATATATTTAAATTGTAATATTTTATATAAATTTTCAGAAATTTTATTACAAAATCCATAAAATATAACTGATTAATCAAATAGTGAGTTTAAATACATTTATGTGGAATTTTCTAACCATCCAAAATGCAACCAAAGGCAAGCTTATAGAGTAGAATTAATGAATATGATCCTGGTAATTAATGGATTTATCAGAAAACCCAAAATGTTATTTCTAATGCTATTTTTGAAGATGCAAATAATCATAATGTATTAGTATTTAGGTTTTGAAGGATTACTTCAAAAATGAATAAATCAAAGTAATAAAATGGGTCTATACACTAATATTTATAATGGAGAAGTATGAAAGACCTTTCTGTCAACCCTAAACAATCCATAAGCTTTCCAATTTTTTATAAATAAGATTGCTGATTCTCACCTTAGAATCATGATTAATTTAGATTGATTCCAACCATTTAATTTATTATTTTACAGTTCTGGAGTCATTTATGGAGTAATATGTAATCTTTCTTGTAAAGTAGATTTAAACAGGAAAAACATGTTGTATATTAGAATTCTACCAGGACTGAATGAAGTAAAATTACATAAATTAAACATTACCTTAGTTTGATTATTGACGAATTATTAGAACTTTAAAATAGTTTTAATTTACAATCAACCAAATTGTATCCAACTGGTAAACGAATTCAGTTGGCTGTAATTTGTTGTACCAATAATATCTAGCTGTCAGGAAGTTGTGTAGTCATATTTTAGCATTGGTTAGCTCCCAATGATATTACAAAACAGCAAATATCAGTTAAATAAAATTCAATTTCGAAAGGTTTGATTACATGAATGCTGGTTCATCCAGAAAGATGCAGATGAACATCGATGTAATGCAGAATGCTGACAGCTCTGCAAATCTAAAGATGAAAGAAGATGGCATGTTTCTAATATGCTCACATGTTGGTCAGAGATATTAAGATTGCCTTACTTCAATCCAATTGGGCATATTATAGTTGATTTAATGCATTGTCTTTTTTTCAAAATTGTGTATTGGATTGTAAAAAGGTTATAGATCGATGATAGCAAAATCAGCAAATCTGACCTTGAACTAATGGAAAAAAAGGGTAAAAGCCATCAAAGTACCAGCTGATCTAGGCAAAATTCCATACAAGATTGCTACTAGTGAGGGTTTTCTAGTTACATTGCTGACCAATAGAAGTCTTTCATCCTTATTTACGCAACTCTGTTAATGAGGGACCTCTTAAGTTTTAATGATCAGGAAATTTTGTCCAAATTTGTAAGAGCTTAAACTTTGCTCGTCTGTCAAATTATTAATATCGATACATTGCACGAATCTCATTACTGACTTCTTAAAGTAGCTAATTTGATTGAGATGATTACAGACAGGAGATTATACTTCAAACATTCATTTATCTCTCTACATTGTTGAGTGTTACCAGGATTATAGCCCATTGAATTCTTTCTGGTGCTACTCGTTTAAACGAATGAATGGTGTATTGGTAAAACATATGTTGATTTTTGAAAATTCAAAATTCAAACAGTAACAAATAAACTTATTATTCTCTATGGGTTCCTTTCTAAATAGTAAGCGGGCTGTTGAATTAGAATTATTGGATTAGATTGTTTGATATCCACCCAATCAGATAATACAAAATTAATAGAAGCATTAATTCTGGTTCAACCACGATCAACAACCTGAAGTTTAGCGACTTATGATGGATTCGATTTTGCTGAACTTTACCAGTTTATGCAAATATTTCACCAAGATATCACTGTCACAATTACCGGAAGTGAAGAATTTTTCAGAGAAATGTTTACTCCAAAAAAAATGGGTATCATTACCAAATAATGTATAGGTAAAATATTACAATGATACATACGATTGGAATTTTGTATCAATTGCCGAATTGGCTCTGAGTGATTTATCATCAAGCAATTCTCATCAATTAATTGTTGTATTATCAATTGCGAATCAATTTGGTCATATTCGGATTGCTAACGAAATCTTTGGATCTAATAGTGCATCCCGATATCAAAAAGTTCACATATATACTGGCCAAATTTACCCCGGCCATGTTCAATTTTATTTTGAACATACAATTCAGCTTCCAATTGGTACCAAGACACCAAATGAGAAGAAATGATTTCACTGTAGAATCAGCAATCAGGATGATAAAAGTTGTAATATTGAATTATGGAAGTATGATTTTCATAAAGTATCAAGAGATGCTATTATGCCAATTCATAATATATATAGTCAATTTTTACCTAACAAATTTATAGTGGGCACACGCCGACTACTTGTAAGGCAGTTATACCGATCAATAGACAATTTCATTTGTAATTTAATATATAATTAATTGATTTAAAAACTTTATAATAAAGAAATTGTAATGCTAATTAATAAATTAGTAAATAAATTTAATTTGATAACAATCGGTAAGATAATTTCAAAACAGAACGATCGGTAAATTAAAACTAGACAATAGGTATTAACCTGATTGTTACCCGATTGAAATATAGGCTGAATTCTAACTATTGAACAAATCATATTGCTAATTAAAAAAAATGATCAATCGAAGGTACTCGATTGATCAGCGTTCTACCTGTGGGATTATCAAAAATTACCTAGAGTTTTGCAGTAAATAATCTGGATTTAAACTCGAATTGAATAATTTCAAATCCGGTTCTAACCTCTAGATGATGATTTTTCAAATGAAAGTTTAATGGATGAAGAAGAAGATAAGGATACTGTCATGAGTTTAAATGAAGAAAATACTATTTAGGAGATAAATGATGTAATTGGACTTGAAGAATAAATTAATTCAATTTCAATATGTAAATTTTTTGATATTTTTTCTTATCTTTTATAAATATATTAATATATGATATTATAAAAGAAAATGACCTTTGATATATACGATTGCTCATCTCGTAAACAAAATAAATTTTTAAATTCAAAATTTGTATTTTAATATCAGAAGTTTTCGACGGGTTTCTATTTCGATGCCTGTCGAAACCTTTGGGTTTTGCCCGGCAACCTTATTAAGATTTTATTGTGGATGAACTCATCTATAATACTGTTTTTGCTGCTTATAAATGATGTCACACCGTTTATAGTGATGTATCATAATAAATAGGCATTGTTGTTCACTGGAATTTTCTACATTGAGTTTGATATACGATTCCACCAATAAAATTTGTTGTTAAAAATATCTGCATGCGTTGTAAGTTAACAACAAGCAACAATCAGAAATATGAATTAGATCATTTTCACAAAATTTACAAAAAATCACCAACACGTTGGTCCCACCTAATGTCGATAATTGTTTAAAGTTGATTTGACCCATCCAAAAGTAACTTTATAGCAATTTGTAAATATCTAAATGCCAATATCTCGTGATAAATTAATTTTCCACATCATTTACAATCTTTACAATTTTCAAGTACTTTAAAATTGTCTGAACCATAAATCATCAAAACATTCACATCATTCATGAACTGTATTTCAAGTATCATGTATATTACATTAAACGATTTTTGTACTTATTAGTATGTACTGTACATCCAAATATCGGGAACTGCACTAACGTAATTAGTTAATCATTTCTTACTATTCTTGTTGAAATAAATGTGACGTGTAAAAGAGATTCCTACAATGACATTTATCATATCGTTTAAAGGGAAGATACAGGACTGGATTGTATGAAATGTCGATAAAAAAAAAAAAAAAAAAATATGAATGCGTGCGACATCTTTAAATTTTACTCATGGTACACAAAATATTTAAATTAATTCTTTTATTTAATTGTTGAGGATTAAAAGCTCTGTTTTCTTCTGTTACATTCTTAACTTAAATAAATATGTCGGATAATATCGAATTAAATTTATATTACTATTTAAGGAAATCTTTAATGTAATCTCGATAAATTGCCTTTCTTAATCATTCATTGAAAAATATATTAATCACCTAATGATGACAACATTTAAGACATCAATCTAACTTCATATAGAAATGTTATTGTTCTTTTTGGGTCAAATGACCTGCATTAAATGAGTAAATAACCATACGGAAAAGGTTATTCCGAGCGATCATTCTAAAAGAAGAAAGATTGTCAAGTGGGCTGAATTATAAAGTTTTCATTAAAAGCCTAAAGTAGAATTTCATTTCTAAAATTTAAAGAGAGGAAGAATTAATCGTAAAATGGTTATAAAAAAAAACTTGAAAGAAGAGAATAAGGAATTAAAGCAAAGTAAGGAGAAAGCTGACGAGGAAATTCAATTGCTACACTCGCTTATATGGAAAGAAAATGATAGTAAGGATTTAAATAAATTGAGAGAGTTATTAGCAGGACAAAAAATTACAGAGATATTAGCTGAATTGGAAGACCGAAGAAAAAACATTCAATATTTAAATTTTGAATTGTCTAAAAGAGGTGAGGAATTATCAAATTTTAATTTATCAATTTAAAGAACGAGAAAGAATATTTCAAGCTAAGAAAGAAATTATTAATGATTTTAGAAATAATTATTGAAACACAAGAAAAAGAAATCAAATCCAAGAAGGAGACTATTAAAGTTTTAGAAGAAAAGATTAAAGAGCATGAAAAAGTAACGCAAGCAAAGATTAAAGAACGTGAAGAAGTAGCCAAAGCCACGCAAGTAACTCTAGAAGAAGTTATAAGAAAGCAAAAAGAAGAAGCTAAAGCTAAACAAAAAGCTATTACTGACCTTCAAAAAAAGATTAAACAACAAGAAGAACAAATCAAAACGCAAGCGGGTATGATGTATGACGATACCATCAATATATTAACAATTACAGACACTAATGAGGATGAAATATTAAACTCGGGAGGGTTACAAAGATATCGAAATTTAACAATCCTTTACTGCAACAACACACAACTCACTGGATTGCCAACCTTACCCAACACATTAAAAGAACTCTATTGCTACGAAACTAATATATTTAGATTACCAACTTTACCCGACTCCTTGACGGAACTCGACTGTTCTGATACACAAATATCTGGCTTACCAAATTTACCCGACTCCTTAAAAATACTCAAATGCTATAATACTCAAATCTCTAGCTTGCCAAATTTGCCTAATTCCTTAACCGAACTTTACTGTCGCAATACCCAGATGACAAGCTTACCAACCTTACCCAACTCCTTAACGAAACTTTATTGCTATGAGACTAATATTTCTAGTATACCATCTTTACCCGACTCCTTAACTGAACTCTACTGTTCTGACACTCAAATAACTGGCTTACCATCTTTACCAGATTCTTTAACTGAACTCCGTTGCCACAGTACTCAATTAACTAGTTTACCAGCTTTACCCGACTCCTTAATAGAACTCCATTGCAACGATACTCAATTAACTAGTTTACCAACTTTACCCAACTCTTTAACTTATCTTGTCTGTTCTAATACGCAAATCACTAGCTTACCAACTTTACCTAACTCCTTAACAACTCTCTACTGCGTAAATACTGAAATAGCTTGCTTACCAAATATACCTAATTCCTTGATACGTATTTATCCTGAAACTTTAAAAGTTTACGTTCCAGCTATCAAACGTCTATTCGGAAATCTAGCTGGATATCACAAAGTTTGAAGAAAACAGTCTATTTATAGCGAACCCTTTTTAAGATACTTTTTATAATTACTTTTTGTAGAAAAAAGAAATATAATTATAGAAAGTAAGTGGGAAAATAAGTATTACACAACGGAATCCCGACAAAATATAACCCGACTACCGAAATCTCATACAACCAACATTCGATAATTTATATTACCGGGATGAACTTTTAGCTGTGAGTAATACGGTGTGAAAAATAGCGTTTAATCTCTATGACTAAACCCAACGCAATATTTATAATAAGTTTATAAATCACTTAATCAGTGACTATCAAATTTATTAATTGTCGAATTTATGATATTGTTGGTTTTCGGAATAACGCAATCAATGGATCTTGTGAACTCTGGAAAAAGTGATCGAGAATTAATATTTAGAAACTCCATATAGATACCGCTTACGTGACTATAATATATATATAATATACAGTAATTTTCTATAGATTTTTTGTAATTTTTTAATTTTTTTCATTTTAATAAAAAATAAGTTTTTTTTGTTCGACTTTTATAATATCTTGTGACATAATAAATAACTACAATTTCCTATTAAATTAATATTCGAAAATAAAATTTATCATAAAATAATTATGTTCGAAAATATTGAAAGTTGAGAATATGTAATTTGTACAACATTCGAAATTTGATATTGAAATGTAATCGATAAGATTGTGAAAATGCCGATATTTTTATTCCTTCTCGTCCTTCGTTCGTTCATTTTCTTTGATTTCATGAATGATAAGTATAAATTTTATGTAGTGATTGGAACTTTAATTAAAAATTTTAACCTAGTTAACCAAGTTCGGTAAACCGGCTAAAAGTCAGTTAATCGGCTAATTAAGTCTTATTGAACCAGTTAAATTTTTGTTAACCGATTGGATAACCGTAGTTAGAAATTATAAATCGTAATTGATAACTCCAAAAAATGCATTTAAGGATAAAAAAAAAATTAATTTAAACTTACGGAAAATAGCGTCATAAAAGCAAAATACATTTTCGTAAAAGCCATAATAGAACATTTAAAACCCAAAAATAACTTTATAGAATATATTTTTTTTTTTTTAAATAGTATTGTCCATTAAAATTAACCGGTTAACCATTAAATAACTTACAATTAACCGGTTAACCATTAAATAACTTACAATTAACCGGTTAACCATTAAATAACTTACAATTAACCGGTTTATAATTAGTGACTAACAATCTCTTGAAAAATGACGCAGTTAAATTTTGGTTCCTACTCCTCAAGCTATCAATTCTATAGATAAAGTATTGTGTCTTACATATGCAATTAGATATTTGAGAAATCAATGCATTTTTCAAGATCGTCACGTCAATACTGTAAACATCACTCTATTATACATACTTACTTGGATCTGTTGTACCAAATGTGTAATGCGCATTTGGGATATCCCAAATGTGAAGATCGTTTGGGATATTCGCTTGCCACAAATGCGCATTTCGGACATCAACGCATTTGGGGTACAACATCTCTTTCGTATTTCTGATTTGAATTTTTTTGATCTTTTATTTAGATTCCATATCTCCTATGTAGCTGGTATCTTAGAAGATCCTAATGTAACACCACCAAAAGACATGTGGAAATTAAACGTAGATCCGGAAGAAGCACCAAACACACCTGAACGTATTACATTCAAACATGGTATACTTACTAAGGTCGTAAATAACCACGATAACCGATTCTCTCGATCTCTATATACGGTATTGCCCGAATTGATATTGTTAAAAAATCGATTTATTGTCATCAAGATTCGAAGTTTTATGAAACACCCGGAGGTACCATTCTTCGAACAGCCCATGTCGATTTGAATGATTGGTCCTTGATCATAAAGTACGTGCGTTGAGAGATCAATTTGTTACGCAGTTCTCGCAAATTTTATATAATGGTCAGTACTTTTCACCTGAACGGGAATTCTTGTCTGCTTCACTTACAAGTAGTCAAAATTCTGTTAATAGGGAAGTTAAATTGAAGCTTTACAAGGTAATGTTGGTCATTGATGATCGTAAATCTGATACTGAGAAATTATATGACATGGAAGAAAGTTCTATGGATGTTCAAGTTAGATTCATTCCGGTTGGTTCCGAAGGGTTCATTAAGATTCAAAGTATAAGATTGAAGAAATGGGGTGCAAGTGAAAACCTTTTGTAAACTTAATAATAGATTTATTTAGCCTATTTTTCTTTCTATTGTTTTTTGAGATAAAAAATATACTAATGAGAGTGATATATTTGAAAATATTATAGATATAACATAACAAACACTTAATTTGCTTAAGTAACAAAAACGATCAAGAAATATTCTTTGGACTCAAGGAGTGAAGCGAAACTTTAATCAAAATAAAACCATGGTTGATGAAATACATAGGTATAAACGCTAAAACGTACTTAGAGGGATCATACTCATAATGCTCATTATTTGAAATAATGTAAGTAATTTAATTTATTAAAATAATACTTACCTTTACAATAATTGCTAGTATTAATAACTAAAAGGAATGCCATTTCTTTTGTTTTTTTTTAGATTATTGGACATTTCTTGAATGAAATGAATGGTAAGTTTCTTTGTATGAGTGTGTGATATGTAATAGTATTTATAAAATTACTATTGTCATTTTTTCTTTAATATTTAGGTTTTTACTAGATGGTGATGTAGTATATAATGGCGAATATCATTTCTTACAAGTTCTATAACTAGGTTATCTGCTATTGGAAATATTAGAAAATTAATTAAAGAGTTAGGTCGTTGAAGAGATTTTTTATACAATATCAAATGCCATAAAACTGATCGCAATCTTTATCATTATTTTGGTTCATACAATATAATAATATTGTATTATATAGTTCTAATTGGTTATTATACTGATAAAAAAAAATAATAAATGCGCTAACTTTTATAAAAAACAATAAAATTGTAAGTTATGAATTTTTAATTATTATAAAACGCAATTAAAATTATAAATATTTACTTAGGTAAAAGTAGAATATAATATATAACAATTTAAAAATAGCTAAAAACAGGTCAGCTTTTTTTTAAATTTATAATTAACACTTTTTCGTTAAATGCATATAGATATATTATAGCTAATACTATTTTGTTTATCTCATGATTTACACCACATTTTTACCATAAAAAATTCACTGTCACATGATATTTAACCAATAATAATCTTTTCCAATATCATCAACATTTTTTTCAGACTCACGTGACCAAATTTGCTGATTATTTTTAAAATGGTAATTAACAAATCTTTTTTTTGTTTTGTTAAATAAAACTTACCACAGATATTATCTAATTTTAAAACTAAATACTTATATCTAATTCTTTATACTTTACAAGTTTACTTAGAGTTCAAAAAGGATTTTAGAATACTGAAATTTGTTAAATCAATCATATAGAAATAGTCATATAAAAGTCAAATTCTGTTATGTAAACCTATTTTTATTGCCTAAATAAACTTGTAAATCAAATAAATATATATATAATTTATAAGTTTAAATAATATATGATATTTGCATCAGATTTTATCTTTATTTTTAGGAAAGTTTGACAAATTTGGTTGCGTAGGTGTGAAAAAGTGTTGGTGATACTAGGTAGTTCTAATAATAAATGTTTATATGTGGCAACATGTGACAGACCAGTAATAAATAGTAAATAATAAATAAGATTTTACATACTTTTTGAATAAAATAAAAATACAGCAGGTGTGATATAGGTGACAATTATTTTATGATCATGTGACAATGAATTTTTTTATGGTAATGCTATTCGCTACTATTACATATATTATATATAATATGACGCTTCTTACTATAATATAATTATAGATCTGTTTATATAATTATATAAACTTCATGATGCAAAAAATTTTAAAAATACAAAGTGAAAGCCTTTTTTAATTTTATATTTTTCAAGCTTTTTTTAATCCTTATCTTTTAGAATTTTATTTTTCTTTAGAAAAAATTAAACTTTACTTTTTTATTATTTCTTTTATTAATATACTTTAAAATCAGGTAAAACTGAGTAGATGACTATTTGGGTCTACTGATTCTGTAGAAGAAATCAGTTATATATTAAATAGTTAAAGTAAAACTAGTTATCAGTTTTTGTTATATATGTATCATTTATGAAATGATACAATGTTAACAAATTTTACTGAAGCCTATCTTAATAAAAGTACAGTACAACTCAATTGCATAGATTATTGATCTTATTCTTTATAAAGGATGATCATTTTATATGGCTTAGATTAAGATAAAGATTGGAATTGAATTCTATTATTAGAATCGATTATAGAATTGATTAATCATGATTAATCATTTGCAAAATTCAATCCTAGAATTCAATTTTTGATTTTTAATATCTAGAACTAATCAAATTTATGTCATAAAAAAATAATATTAAAATGCAAGTAATTTTATTGATCATAATTTTAATGCGAAATACTGATTTTTATCTTTCGTTATTACTACATTTTTATAAATTTTATAATAAACAATTTATTTAATAATAGAAATTTAAATATATTTATTTAATACCATTATAAATATTTATAAAAGAAAAATAAAAAAATTTGGTAATTAATCATCAATCTTAACTTTTCTATATATATCGATATATTCTCTATTTTTTTTTAAAAATATAAGCTAATTAACAAGATATAAATTCAAACAAGTTCTTTGTGGTATGATTAAATTTTTAGTATTAGAAAAAAGCTCTTTCTGATGGAACTGATGTAGCAGAAATATGAAGATATTTTATTGCTAATTTGTGTAATACTAGATATTGACTTTTATTGTTTAATCACCATAAAACTGAATCATATTCTTCAAGAATAGAATATTTTATTATATTTAAATAATGTTGGAATTCATCTTTTATTGGTGCAATAGTTTTGTTATTCTTTTTTCCAAAAACTTTCCATTGCTATTGTTAAATCATCTATGTTCTTATTAAATATTATAGAACTATTATTTTGTTTAGAAATTTTAAACTCTTTTTTTAATTGATTAATAATACTATTTTTTTTTTATGAGAATCAATAAAATCTAAGCTTTTAAAATGAGGATCAAAAAATGATCCTTTTAAATATAAATCTTGAGGAAAATTCCATCTTGATAATAAATTTTGTAAAATTGCATCACTGTAATATTTTGCTTCACTAGTTTCCAATAAAGTAAAATTACTTTCAAATCTATTCTTTAAATTGCATATAGTTGAATATACAAAACTAATTGTTAAATACTTTATACCATTTAAAAACACGTTGCAATTTTAAAAGGAATTAAAAGCTCTATTACTTCTTTAATTAATTTTCACTCATTAACTGTAGGATAAAGTTCTTCTAATTTTTCACTCTCTTTATGAATATATGAACTTGTATTACTCATTAAAGATACCTTTAGCATCAAAATTGCTGGTTTAAGAATAATAAGTCTTTGAAAAGCATAAAGGATTGAATTCCATCTTGTATTATTTGCTTTTACAACATCAAAATAAATACGACTTTCAACTTCTTTTTCTAATTCTTTTAGTTCTTATAATATTTCTTATTGGTAATATAAATAAATTTATGATTTTTTTAATTATTGCTTTTTTTTATCTTCTGATAAAAAAGTAATAAGACGTTTACACTTATCAGCTAATGGTTCTATTTTATCTAATTCTTTTCCAATACTCAACTGAAGAGTATGAGTAGTACATAGGATCTTTTCACCAATTCCTAATTCATTATATATATTTTTTACATTTGAATCATTATCAGTTACTATAGCACTTATTTTTGATTTAATCTTCCATTCATTAAACAAATCTAACAAATGCTCTTTAATTTCAGTTGAACTATGCAGATATGGTAATTCTGCTATACTAAGAAGTATTTTATATGGTTTAAATTTAGATATTACCTAATAAGCAGTAATACCTAAATAAGATTAATATACCAGTGAACTCTAGGTGTCTAATATCAAAGAAATATGCTGTATATGTAAAGTTGATTTTTAAATGTATTTTTTCCAACTTCACATGTTTTTGAGATTCAATTTTAAGTGATTTAATATAAGGAATTTTATAATATTTATCAAACTCATTTATCATATTAATAAAATCTGGATCTTCTACAATACTTAAAGGTTATACTGTTTCAAAGACAAATGCTACAACATTTTTAGTTAAAGATTCTTGTTTAAAAAGGTGATGCAATTTGATTATATTTTATAGCAATATCTTTAATAATATGATGTGTACCTAACAAATATGTTGATAATGAACTTAAAGAACTGTATCATGAAAGTATTTTTCCACAGCCTTTAATTTAACAAATAGCTTTTATGTTATCTTCATTAAGCTTAAAGAATCTCTATACCTAACTTATTTTAGGTCATGTAATTTTAGTTAGAGGTTTTTTTTTGACTTATTATTAATTTCTAGAAAATCTGCTTCAAGATCATCCATAATTATATTAGAAACATCAGATATTATAATATCCTGTAATATTATATGACTACTATCTTTAGCTTCACTATTAGAATCATTTTCACTTTCTTCTATAAATATTAATTGACTTGTTTCAGCTTCATAATCTGAATTACTTTCATTTTCTGTTAATTCTTTTTGTATTAAATTTGCTTTTTTTACTACTTTTACTTCTTCAAGTATTCTTTTATATTTAATTTGCGTAGTAATAACCATTTTCTAATCAAATAAATAAATAAAAAAGTTTTAAAAATATAAGAATTTCTTTATATAAATAATGATCAATTTTTATTTTAATAATGTTACAACTGATATATAGATAGCAGAATAAACAAATTTAAAAAGAAAGAAATAAGAATAAATGTGTAACGAAAAAATAAATAAGCCTTTTTCATATTTTGCTAAAATATTTTTTTTATTTAAAAATAAAATTCGCAAGATCATTTAAAATTCAGCATTAGTCTATTTTGAATTCATAGCGATAAAGTTAACATAAGATACAGGTTTCAAAAAATCCACTGATTGTTTAAAATTTAGCATCACATTGTTTTTAATTTTGAATAAATGAATTATTTATTTGTATAGTATGATTAATTGATATTTAAAATTAATGTTAATTATTATTAAAACTTAATTTAACCATCAGAATCACATATAAATTTAAAAATGATCTGAACAATCATTCTCCAATTCTAATATATTTTAGTTAATTAAATACTAAACATAGTATAAATCGATTATTTTTCTACAATATATTAGTGTATTCCTGAATTTATTAATTTTTTTTACCAAAATTGCCAAAAATATACAAAAAAAATTTATAATTTTTCAAATATTTTTTTTCTATATATTATAAAAAATGTCCTTATACTTAATGCATAAATTAGTAAATCTCTCCTTTACAGAATAGCAGATAGCACAATTAGCATAATATAGTACTGTGTAAATGATTAGCAAAAAATCATTTTTAATAAATAAATATAAATTAATACTACTATACCATAATAAATAGATTTGATTTTTTTATTCAATAATTGATTAAATTGATTCTGATTCAATTTTTAATTGATTTAATTTTATAGAATCAATTCTAATCTCTATATTGAGAAATTGGCATATAACTATATTTTTGTTTCTATTTACCTACAATTTTTAATTATTAATCCCTTTTCAATAAAGCTAATAATAGAAAGACCAAAACATGAGTTAGATAATTTTGAGTTAGCTCATTTTTAGAAACGATCAGTAAAATTTATCATGTGCCTATAATATTTTAATAGTAGACATTACAAATTAATACTATAATAGTAAATCTAAATTTTTATTGTTGACAATAACTTACCAAAATTGTTTGAATATAGAGAAGGCAATTTTTATGTTATTTTCATTTTTTCCCTAATATTGCTTTAATAATGCAATATTATGAAATATATCTATATTATCAATTCATTAAAATGGTTGCAATTACTGGAAGAAATTACAATGCTATTGATCCTTAAAAGAAATCTATCAGCTTTATTGATTTCATAGAAATAGTGATGATTCTCAAAAAAATACATTCAATTTTAATCCCGTTAAAATGATTATAATTTGTGAAAAGTAGAATAGAATTAGCTAGTATCATCAAATTTTTTTTCATTAATAAATATAATAAAAGATATTTTATTCTTAACAAAATATAAGAAAAAGTATGACAAAATGGGTAAAATTTTGAATCAAAATCCATCTGTTATTTGATTCTATTGAAGTGATCATAATTCTCAGAAGAAATCAAAGTGCTTTTATCGAACCTGTAGAAGTAGTCATAATCTATAATCTGTTTTATTACCTATTGAAGCAGTTGTAGAAAAGATTATCCATTCTTATCGAATGATAGTGATTCTCATCTGATCTTGTTGATTCTGTAGTATGCAGTCATGATTGTGAAAATAAAATACTAATAAAATATAAAAATAAATATGTAATAAAATTAATTAAAGTTTTAAATAATAAAATATTTTGTATAGATTATCTACATATTGTTTAATTTATATAAGTATTTCTTCTTTTATTTGACCTCTAAAATATTTTATTACTTATATACATTAAAATAATTAAAAAAAAAACTTAAAAATCATATCAATTCTATTCATTCAATTCTATTATCTCTATAATAAATTTAATTTACATTAATAGAAAAAAGTTTTAAACTATTAATTTAAATATTGATTTTTCAAAAATCAACAAAAAATAAAAAATAAACTAAAAAAAGAATAAATTAAAAATAATTTCTAAATTAAAAAAATTAAAAAATTAAAAGATATTATATATTTTAATAATAAATTAATTTTTTTATAACCTAGTGTCATATGGTTATATAAATATGGCTTACGTAATGATCAAATTTTTATAAAAGAAACTTTTTAACTTTAACTTTTTTTAAAAGACTTCTTTATTTTATATATTTAAATTTACTATTATTTTTCAACAACAATAGTTTCAAAAATTTTTTTTGTATTTTTTATTGCAAAAAAAATATATATTTTTTAATAATAGAAGACTATTATGAGAAATTTCAACAGTCTCAAGTATAATCAGAAATCTCTAAAAAATAATAATTTTGCATATATAATAGAGTAACATTATTAAATATCTTGCGATTAGTGTTAGCTAAGAGCTATCTGAAAAACAAACTTTTAGCTAACACTAATCATAGCCTATTATATCAGCCATCAATTAAAATTAAGTATAAATTAAATAAAGAAAATAATTAATTTGGTATTTAGATTACAATATAAATTATTATTTTAATTAATTGTTTATTTAATAATATAATGTAATCATATAACACTACTAAGTACACATTCTACATAGTCATACATTAGTAAAAATTACTAATACTGAATAATAAACTTATAAATTTAATTATTATTTTAAATTTATTAAAATTAAAAATCTATATTATTTAAATTTATTATTTATGAATTTTAAAATTATTAAATTTTGATTTTTAAAAATAAATAAGTTTATATAAATAAATACAGTTTCCGGCAAAAAGAATAGTGGTAGAAGACAGCATTTATTTTAGGCTACGATTTCACCACTTTCCAGATTTAGACATTTATTTATATGCCCAAATCAGACATTTGAATCTGAATTAAAAAGATAAGTTAAAAAAATAAGGTTTGTTATTTGTTATTATTTTGATTTCCTTTCCGAAACTATGCTAAGCTCTTTAAAAATACAAAGAAATTCTGTTAAGTCACTTTGGGACTAAAAAATGCGTAATGCAAAGGAAATTTTTAATCTATTGTGTATTCCTTTACACACATATGAACGATATGTCAGTTTGCTAAATAAAACTAGCAAAATTTCTATTGGTCACTCTTCTGGCCGTCCAAGAAAATTGGTTTCTAATCAACGCCACCATATTGAAAAATTCTGCAACATAATCATTTTACTACAGTAGGCGAACTTAAGGAAAATTAGAAAAAAAAGATCCCAACCTTAATGTCAGTGAACGTACGATATGTCATAAGCTCAATAATCTTGAATATGTTTCTGTTCTTTCAAGAAAGGTTTCTCTCTTGACCCAAAAAGCGAAGGAATTTTGTTTTATTTGGGCATATGATCATTTGTGATACAACTGGAAAAAAGTAGTTTTTTTCTGATGAAATAACACTTCAGATGTTTAGAAATACCATGTGTGCATAATCTCATAATGCAGAACCAATTGCCTTTAGAGTTCTGAATGAGCCAAGTCGAGTCAAGTTTAAAGATCAACTCTATTCGACTCTCTTTTTTCGAGTCGAGTCAAGTCAAATTTATTTTATAAAATCTTTCAATTTGATTTGATTCGAGTTATATAAATTTTAAACTTGATTTAATTTGACTTAACTCGATTTAACTCGATTTAACTTTAAAAAAAAATAATAAAAAAAAATGAAAAGATCAGAGGGGGAAGGGAGGGAAAGGAAAAAGAGCGAACAATTCAGGTCGTCATTCAAGTTGAACAATTCAGGTCATTGTTCAAGTCGAACAATTCGTCATCATTCTTGAACGATAAAAAAATATCGTTTAAGTTGAATGTTATCTGCCATATTATTGAAAAAAAATTTTTTTTTGTCCCTTCTTTTACTCACATTATTTAATATGTAATCATGATCTTTTCTTCACGCCAAGTTGTTGTATATATGATATGATATAAAAAAAAAATAATTAATTTGTATATTACATCATAACGAGAATGCATTATATTATATTATTGTATTATTAGAATATATTTTATTATGGAAGGTGCAAAGAAATAATATGACGAAGAATTTCTAATAAATGTCTTTTTATAAGTTAGATCATTTAAGAAAAAAAAAATTTAAACATCCTTTTTTTCGTTTTCTTTTTTTTTAAAAAAAAATCATACAAAAATAATCATAATAACACCCGACAATGTGCTCTACTTAATCAAAATATTAAGCAAATCAATAAAAAAAATAAAATGAATTTATAAGTTTCAAATGATGAAAATCATTTATAAATTGAGTACTAAAAAAAAATTAAAAAATTTTTTTTTAATTATTTTCCTTTACACGCAAATCTCCAATTTTGATATAAATATTTTTTTTTCGTTCATTTGGAATTTATTTAACAATTAATGTAAGTTTTATAGATTTTAGCTAAACTTTCAGATAATAATAAAACTCATTGTTATTCATTTCTTTTTGCAAATTTATTTGTTTATAGTTAACGATCTTTTTACATCATGATTAAGAATTCACTAACATTACTTCTTTATTTTCGTAATTTGTTTTTGATCTTTTTTTTACTTTATTTTAAGATTAGTTAAATTTTTATGTTTATTCCTTTAGGTTTTTACATAATTTCTCTCAAATTAAAATTCATTTTTATGACAATTAAGCTATCAATATTATATAATAAAGAAATTATCATTATCATTTCTTCATATTTTTTTATTTTTCACGTCATAAAATAGCATGCTCTAACGATTCTAACTGATTTATTATCATTGAAAAATTCAGAAGATATACCTTATTAATCGACCGTATACCCTTTAATAGGAGTTAATATCCCGCTCATTTGCCAAATGATCCTCTAACATCGTATTCAAAAATATCTCTCGTCTTTACCCACCTGTAATTAATTATTATGAGTTCATCATTCTTTTAAAAAGCTCGAGAACTTTGTCCTTCATTCTGCTCAGTAATCTTCTCAGATTTCAAATTCAACTTAAATTTGCTGTTTGTCCTGTTTTATTCCAGTATAATTTTACATAAATGCAAAATTATAACACATGAATATTGTAGAATAAGTGATTATACGTCTGGTATTGTTGATTTTGTGAGTTGACTTTGATAGCGATATAGTAACTCCATTGCTTCATCTAAGAAAACTATAATTGAAGCAAAAATAAGTAAATACCAAACAAGCATCATAAATCATCATCAGCAACATCATCATAAATAAATAAGAAAGATCCTACTAATAAATTTCTTATATTCTGATCTAAATCTTTTTCATTTTTTAAAACCAATTGGAATTTTAAGTGATGCTCTTTAAAAAACAGGCACATCTGGGAAAAAATATTGAGGAAAAATACAGTAATTGTAGCATAATTCAGTTGTACTTGTTCATGCCATACCTAATGAAAAATATAAATCTGCGCTATGAGCAAAAAAAAATATAGCACGTAATTATTATTGTTGATCGAAGGTTACAGTTTTAGATAGGAATAGAGGTTGCTCAATCATACTTTAAAGTTCAACAGTTATTACTTGTTTCTGTAATTAAATCCCGTATTTTTACATAAAGGTATCTTTGCCTTTTTGGAACCTAACATTCAACTATGAGTTTTCATATTTCTTTAATTTATTTTAGTTGAGTTGAACTCTGACTGCTAGTTAGTGAACAATGAATAGGTATAATATTGTTAGAAAGGCCTAATTGATGTATAAGGTTATTCAGTGGAAGACTTGAAAACAAGAAGTTGAAGGATTTTTTGGATACAAAGCATTATTATTATCATCAAAGAGTATGACGGTAATGAAATAACTTGCGTTGACTAATATTATTAAGGCTCACTTACTGATAATAAGGGTAATATCAATGTCTGATAAGAACTGAAAAAGAAAGAGAAACAAGAATTAGAAAATTTACGTATATAGAAAATAAGAAACATAATGAAGCAACACAAAGTTATCAAAGTATAAGCCAAAGCCACATTATTTATACTTCTTTTGAATGAATTTTTTTTTTAAAAAAAAGGGGGAAATCGATTGTCATAAAAATACGAGTCATCGTGCTTCTTGAATGATAAAAAAATATCATTCAAGTCGAACAATTCGTTATTATTCTTCTTGAATGATAAAAAAATATCATTCAAGTCGAATGATTCATCATCGTTTTTCTTGAATGATAAAAATATCGTTTAAATCGAATGATTCATCATCGTTCTTCTTGAATGATAAAAAAATATCATTCAAGTCAAATGATTCATCATCGTTCTTCTTAAACAATAAAAAAATATTATTCAAGTTGAATGATTTGTCATCATTCTTCTTGAACGATTCATCATCATTCTTCTTGAACAATAAAAAAATATCGTTCAAGTCAACTCGAGTCAACTCGAATCAAGTTGAGTTTAAATCAAGTCGAGTTAAATATTTAACTTAACTTGAATTTGACTTGACTCACAAATCATCAAGTCAAAAAATATAAACTTAACTTGATTTAAACTTGACTCAGCTTATTTGACTCATTAGTTAACTTGACTCATCTAGAACTCTAATTGCCTCTATGGTAAAGCACCCATTCAAGATTCATATTTAGGCAGCGATTAGTGCTAAAGGAAAAATTAGCATTCATTTGTTTACTGAAAATTTAGATCATCATTTGTATCAAAAAATCTTAGATGACCATCTGTATAATAATGCGGATATATTATACAAATGTGGCTGGGTCTTTTAACAAAATAATAACCTAAAATACACCTCACACGATGTTTAAGGAGACTTGAAAAAACATCTTTCAGGACGAGTTCTTTCTTAGCCTTCATACAGCCCAGACTTGAACCTTATTGAAAATATATGGGCTATATTAAAGGAAAAGGTGGAGAAAAAGATCAAGTATTTAGTAGCAAAAAAAAAATTACCTGCAATGTATTCCTTAATACAATTTAGCAGGAATGGGACAATCTTGATGACATCATGTTACTTTGGTGTATCAAGAACATGCCAAGCTGGGTTAAAGCATGTATCAATGCAAAAGGAAGACACATCAAATATTAATTAATAATATAAATGTTGTCATTAGTATTATTCTTATAAATAATAAAAAAAAAATATACATTAAAATAAAGTTTGTACATACCGTCGAAATGTTTTCACCATTCTTTTCACCAAAGACTGTAGGTTATTATTATCAAGTTTATTATAAAAAGAATAAATATTTTTTATTGCTTTTATACTAAATTAATAATTTATTTAAAATATAACTAATATTATAAATAAATTTAATAAATATTAATAATATATATTTTATTAGTTATAAATACATTACTTATTAATTTAATATTATTAAAATTATTGTTTAATTCTATTTTAATTTAGCAAAATATATAAACTTTAATTTTACTTAATTTTATTATTTAATATATTTTTGAATGCTAATATAATTTAACTTTTATTTAAATTTCATCAAATTGTTATTAAGATTTAAATAAAGTTTTGCTAAGATTTACTATTTATAATTTAAACAATTTACTAAATTTCTATATTTTATTTAGTTATTTTAGATATTTTATATATCAATTAATTAAAGCATATTGAAAAATTATATATAATTAGCTTTCTCTACAATCGTACATTTAAAATAAACTATATTAAATAATTATAAATTAAAATAACTATTAAAAAAAATTTAAATCACATTTTTATATTATAAAAGAAATAATAAAAAGAATATATTTATTATAATAAATATTAATTATATTAAATAAAATAATAAAATTATACTAATTCAATGAGAAAAATTATTTTCAATAAATTTTTATTATAAAAATATATTTCCCTTCAAAAAATATCTGATCACCTAATTTTTTTGATATATTATACTAATATTTTATTAGCTATAAATATTAAAATGATGATTTATAATTATATATTAATTTTGGGATTTAATAAATATTTTAAGCATAATTTAATATTTGATTAATAAGTCTAATTTTGTAAAATCAGTGATCTACATCTATAACTAACATTTAATAAATTTTTAATCATTAAACAAAATTTTAACCAAGTTAAATATTATCTTACTTTAGAAGAACAAGTATACCAAATTTCATAAAGATCTGATTAATGGTTGTTGAGATATTAAACTTTAAAAACTAGTTATTTACATATAAAAAAAATTAATTTTGATAATTTTATATGTAATTATCAACCTTTGAAGTTCAATTTTTCAGCAATCACTGATCAAATCTTTATGAAATTTGGTATATTAATTCTCTTAAAGTAAGTTAATCATATATATAAAAAGCTTTGTTATAGCTAATTTAGTTATAATTTTATTCATGGTTAAAATTTTACTAAGTAGCTAGTTAAAGATGTAGATCACTAATTTATATAAAATTGAACTTATTAATCAGATATCAAATTATGTTTAAAATATTTATTATTCTAAAATTAATATAAATTACAAATTATTATCCTAGTATTTATAATTAATAAGGTATTAGCATAAAATATCAAAAAGTTAAGGTGATCAGATATTTTTTGAAAGGGAGTATATATTATAATATACCTTTAAATCAAAAGCTAAACAATTAAAAGCTTTAAAATTTTCAATTTACATTTATTATTAATAGTTATTCATAAAAAAGAATTAGATTTTAATTATATCAAAATTTTTTTAAATAATACCTTTGGAATTAATACTTCTTTATTATCAGTATCATTCACTACAATTACATCTTTTATCATCTTATATAAATTAAATAATTTATTAATATTCTAAAGATTTTTCAGTAAATAAAAAAGTGATTAATATTTTTTAAGGATCAGGTCAGATCAGATTTGAAGCATATTTGAACTCTAATCTGTTAATAATTATAAAACTTATAATTTGACTTGATCTAATCAATGTTTGATTTAGATTTGACTTGACTTGATTAATGTTTAACCTGAGACATTTTGGGATTAATTCAAATTTTATGGATAATATTAACTCTAAAATAAAAAAGTGTCATATATAAAGTTTATTTTATTTTAAAATTGTTTATTTTATTTTTTTTACATTTTTTTCATTAGAATTTCAAATATATATAAATGTTAATTGTATTAGCTTTAAGACTGCATCTTTTAGTTGATATTAAATCAATTTGCTAAAAAAAAACTCATTCTACTAGAATATTTATTGCTTTATTAAAAGTATTTATTAATATTAAATAATCAATAATGTTTTTTTACCTATAATTGTAAGATAATCTCTAACCATTATAACTAAATATAGATTTTCAGTTTTATATAACTATATAATTTAATTAAATTAATAAATTATATAAATTTAAATATATTTTTTATTAAAGAAGAATATTTAATTTTGTGTTACTCAAGATATATTTAAATATAATTTCACTTCATTTTATTTAATAATTTATTTTTTACTAAAAATATAATTCAACATTATATCAATCTCATTAATATTTTTAACTTTTAAATCATTTACTACAGGTGCATATTTTTATTAATCAAAATCAAAAAAATCTGATATGCAAAAAATTAGCCTAAAATCAACCTAAAATTGGCAAATTATCAAAAATTAACCTAACCGATTAGCATATATTAAGAATCAGCTAAAATTAGGCTAAAATTTGACTTACTGTATCTTATTTATAGTTAATTAGCATACTTGTAATACATTAAAATCAGTTAAAATATGACTTACTTTATTGTAACAGATTAACATCTGATTAGAATGAATTATATTATTTCTTAGGTATGATAGTTTTATCAATTCTTAAGTATGATAGTTTTATCATTTCTTAAAGATAATAGTTTTATTGTTTCTTAAAGATGATAGTTTTATTATCTTTAGGAACAATAGTTTTATCATTTCTAAGGAATAATACATTTATAATATCTTAAAAATGATGATTTATCATATTTAAGAAATGATAGTTTTATCATACTTAAAGAATAATGCATTTGTCATACTTTAAAGATGATGCATTTATCATACTTTAGGGATAATAGTTTATCATACCTAAGGAATAATAGTTTTATCATTCCTAAAGAATGATATATTTATCATTCCTTAAATATGATAGTTCTTAACAAATAATAGTATTATCATTTCTTAGGTATGATAATTCTTAAAAAATGATGA